GGATTTTTGACTGTACACCCCTGTTACTAAAAAAGAGGTTGCACACCGATTTACTCATTGCTTTCATGGCAAGATGCAGAATTCAATTTTAGGCATGTACTGTACTGAAAATTTGACGTTAACCCGCGACCTGGTGGGGGGGCTATTTTTTGCCCCTCCCCCCCCTCCCTCCAGACTTTTCTATATATCTCCAGAACCGCTGCGCCGATCGTCACCAAACTTTCAGTTCCCTCCCGGACATCAATTTTACACATTGTGACCAAATATTTTTCCAAAGGCTACGATAGGTTGGCCGGAAATGACGTCAGAGTGACGTCATATTCTGCCGTTTTCGACCCAAAAAAGGGTTTCGCGGGAAGAGCTATCAGGCCTATAGCTTTGCAAATACAGAAAAATGATAAAGACATAAAATCTGTAGAATCGACAGGGCTACAAAACTCCTATCTCGGATTTTTGAAATGTTTGGATTTTGACCCCCAAAAATCAAAATATATTTTTTCGATAAAATAATCGAAAAATCCAAAAAGTGTTTTGAATTTCGCAAAAACCGGAATATATGTGATAGTCCTTACCATCTTCCATCCACATACCAAATTTGAGATTGATAACTCCTTTTTTGGCGAAGTTATAGCGAAAAAACTTCAAAATTGATGACGTCAAATTTTCAAACTCAAATTTTCAAACTGTGGCAGGTCCTTGGATCAAAGCTGACCTCTGGCAGCGTTTTCCTCGGCCGGCTCCTACCCAGGAGATGGCAGTAACTGGGGAGTGTTCGCTCGGTCGTGGGGATTACCGCTGTGCCAACCAGCGCCCCCGGCCGCAGGTACACGGGCCTGATCCGCCTTTAAACAGATCCTTCGGTCCGGTGACATGTCCCGAGGGCACGGCCTCGCTTCATGTCCCGGAGCAGCCCTCTGACCTGCCGGGCCCGAGAAATCGGGATAGCCCCAGCGTGTGCACCAGTGCGGTGCCACCTGGGGTACGTGACAGGAAGCGTGCGGTCAAGGCTGTCCCGCGTAGCGGGTGCCGAAAACGCTTCGTACCACTGCCGTGTATATAGTGTACTAACCCAGTATGAATGTGTGCTACTAACGACAAAAGCCCGGGTCGGGCAACAAAAATATTTAAAAAAAAAAAAAAAAAAAAAAAAAAAAAAAAAAAAAAAAATTTCAAACTCAATTTCTAGCAATTCTAGACCCCGTAGCGCAAAACAAAGACCACCATTAGACTCCCCGTGACGAGCTGCATCGAATAAATACCCATTTAATGCAAAACTATCAACTTTAAAATTTGACCTTTTTTGGCCTCACCTTGACCTGACCTTGACCTGAACTTCACCAGAAAGTGACCTAAGCCGTACCTGATAGTCTTATAACCAACACCATTGAGTTGAAAATGAAAAATTGGCCATAAAACATGCATCACACAACCTTAGTAAAGTTGGTCTCATGTGACCTGACCTGTGACCCTTGGTGACCTGACCTGTGACCTGACCTGGTATTGTCAGTGACCTCTAATAACAACATATCTACTAGGCAACTGACGCCCTATCGCTGATTCTCACCAAAATACGTTTTCCTCGGTGTTATAGCGCATTCCCTAGAAGACCCGTGAACGGTGAAACATTTCATCTTTGACCTGACCTGTGACGTCATCGGTGACCCAGAGGTCAATGAAATTTGGTTTCCTTCGACAAATTTGACAGGCCTTTCGAACGCCGTTTGAATTTTGTGAATTTTGCGGATCCGTCCAGTAGTTTCGGAGATACGGGGGGGGGGCAAAAAATAGCCCCCCCCCCCACCAGGTTGCGTTATAAACAGACCCCACCAGGGCGCGGGTTAATTAGATGATAATGGCGTGAGATATTTGCGAGAAAAAAAAACAGGAGGGGTTGGCAAAATTCGCGCCCCCCCCCCCCCCTCTACTTCGGCAAGGTCCTGTACTTTCTCAGAAGGGTCAGGTGACATCCTTCACTAATATTTTTGGCGCTCCTACACCCATGACTAGCTGTACAGGTACTCCTAAAGTAATGCTGTGCCGCAACGCTCATTCCAAAACGCGCCACCGTAGGGGCGGTCAGTTGGTGGGGCGGCTGCCCCACCAATAAGCGTTTTGTCCCACCAAGTTGGGCTTATTTGTAGGACTTTGTTGTTTAGCAAACCAGTCTTCTTCGCATAGAGGAGCTTTGAAACGTCTGTAATGAAAAAATTAGTTCAACGTTGTATTTTATACAACTTAGCGATCGGACATTGAAGGGTTTGACAACTTCTTACCCCGCCAACTTCCCTGGAAAAGCTCCACCCATGCACCGTACCCGAGGCCGCTGAGGGTTTTGGGCTGGCCGCTTTCTAGATGGCAGAAAAGCCATGCTGCGTTCGGAAGATAAAAAAGGTCATAACCACTCAACCTTCCGTATTATTTACCCCGCGTTCGCAGACTCCCAGACGACAAAGTCGTCCGGCAAATAACGCTCGATTACCGTGGCCAAGCCCCCGCCGACCTTGAACGGGATTGGCCGGACGGCGTAGAATCTTCGTCGTCCGGGAGACTGCGAACGCGCCACGCTACTTTTTCTAGGCTGATGTGAGCTGTGACACATTTTTAGCTAAAGAGTGTATTCGAGCAAAACAGAACATGTACGAGGGGGTATCGAAAAGTTCTGATCATCACATAGATGATATAGACCAATTTTGATGATTTTTGGTTGGTATTATATTTGGTTCTTAAGAACAATGCTCCCGCAAAGAGAATTCTGAGAAGTGGTTTTATCTTATGTAGGAGAGACTTAGAAGTAAAAAAGATGAGTATTGGGCCCATTAAGGACCGAACCGTCATCCTGCAACTAATGCATTCGAAACGGTATCACACTGAGAAAATACATCAAGAACGTGAAATTAGTTCATGGCGAGGAAAGCCCAATTCATGCACTTACCGAGAATGAAGAAACAATTTTCAACTTGGATGCATGGCCCTTCCAGGGGAGTCAAGAAGTGAGTGATTACCAGTGACAGACAATGTGGTGACTGTGAAGGAAGTGGAGGACCTCATCCCGACAGATCGTCGTGTGGCCTTTCAGATGATTGTGCAACAGAAAGGTCTCAATGCTGGCAGTGCCTGAAAATATTATCAGCGAAGAACTGCGGACGATAAAGGAGTCAGCCCGCTTAGAAGTTCGTGTGTCTACTTTGTTCAAGAGAAAAATGCGTCTTGGCCTTTCGAAACCAAAACTAGGCATTTTTTAGGAAATTGAAGACATCTTCGATCATTTGATGACTTGTGACGAATGATGGGTCTATGTGTATGATCCAGACACAAAAGGATGATCAAGAAGTTTAAGCACGGCACATTTGTCCTTCTTAAAAGGCGAAGATGCAGAAGCCGATATGGAAGGTCAATGCTATCAGTGTTCTGGATCTGGCGTAGGGTAGTCATTACCGACTGTCTTGATGTTGGTCGGATAATGATAGCAAGCACTACTGCACACTTTTGAAGAAGTTGCGAGATGGCCTCAAGCAGAATCGCCGCAAATAAACCCAAGAAAGATGTTTTATCCTCACCGACAGCGCCCCCGCCCATTCGTCCTCAGCTGCGATTGAAGAAACAACATGATGTGGACATTAAATCCTACCGCATCTAAGAAATTCACCTGACCGGGTATTAACTGACTCTTGATTGTTACGGGAGATGAAGAATCCACAGTATGGCCGGTGATTTAAGGACAGAAATGACGTCATTGATGAGGTGGAGCAGTGATTTACGGGACATTGCGAAGGTCCTACAATGACCGCCTGAGGCAGCTCAAGAAACGATGCAATAAGTTTGCGGTCGTGTGTGGTGACTTGTGAAGGAGTAATGAACATCATGTAAAAAAATAAAATTTCTATCACATCTAATTCATGGTGATGATCAGAACTTTTCGATACCCCCTCGTACACCACGACTCTGTAGGTAAAAATGTGTTATATCACGCTTGAGAAAGTAATTAATACGAAACAGTGGGTGGTCCGTAGTATGGTGTTTTATCTTATATCATTTATGAATTAATAAGTGTACCTAATTCAAATAATTAGGGTTCGCATTTCTATCTCTCAATGCTGAGGACTCTGTTTGGTCTCTCCCTCTATTTACCACTCCCAGCTAGCTGATCGGGGGGGGGGGGAGGCATTTGTGACAAGTGCTCCCCCCACGCGGTGCCTGAATCCGACGAAAGTTTACTCTTTTGAGAGCTAAAAAGCTGAACAAATTTTATCAGCAAAGTGTGTTTTAAACCGCACAGCGGTGCAGTTAATCGAAATCCGATGAGTTTGTACAAATTGAGTTAACTTTTTTAGGGGTATGCCCACTCGCAACGTCTAGGGGCGCCTTTCTGGATCCGCCAGTGCTACTCTCTGTATATGTGTTTGCACCGCCTGTCTGTCAGGACTCCATTTCACCTCCCCCCTCTGTCCCTTTCTGTACACCGGTCTGTCTGTTTGTTCTGTCTCTCTGTCTGTCTGTCTATCCCACTCTGCCTGCCTGTTCATCCTCGCCCCTTGCCCCGTCTGCATTTCGCCCCATCCCGTCTGTCTGTCTGTCTGTCTGTCTGTCTGTCTGTCTGTCTGTCTGTCTGTCTGTCTGTCTGCCTATCTGTCTGTCCATCCCTACTGCCTACAACAAACGCGTCCGTCGGTTTGCCCCGTCTGTTCCGTGTCCCATGCCCCTCCCTACCCGTCCCCCACTGTGACCTCTGCCCCTCCTCTGTCGGGGGAGAGGCAGAGCCCGGAGGCCAGACCCCTCCTCTCCCCTGCCCCCATCTGCTCTAGAAACATCTCTCACATTGTCTTTAGACGACTACATCATCACAGACCCAGTAACCTCAACCCCAGCTCAGCAAAACTCAGTGACAGTCGCCTGAACCGCCGCCCAATCAGCAGCTATCGAGACGCTGACCCGGTCGGATTGTACCCCCACTTCCGGGGGGCGGAGGGGGGGGGGTGATGTCAGAAAGCTGCAGTGGTACAGGGGTGTGTCGTCTCAACTGTCGTCTGGTTGAGAGTCAGTTCGTGGTAGGGTTGCATAGGGACGGTCGTGATAACAGTTTGTGAGGTTTATTCGTGGGTTTGGTGATCTTGACGGGTTACGAAGGTACCCGTGACGTGACGCGTGACACGGAAGGTTGGTTCGTAGACTAGTGACGTGAAGTATGACTGAGTGTGTCACGAAGTGTAAAAAGTGATGACGGAAACTGTGTGACACATCATGATAACACTGCGGCAAAGTGACTCGTGAAGGACTTCTGAAGGTGCCGACTGTGATTTGGCGTAAATCGTGCATAAACCTTAATTGTAAAAAGCTTCTTTTAATCTGTCGTCTTCTGAGGTGCTAGCGGAGTTGAAGACCGTCCGCCAGAGCAGAGAGGAAAGATTCAAATCGTCTATGAACTCTTCTGATCGTCCGAGCATCTCCTCACCCAGCCATGAAGCATCTTCTTCTCTACACGATCGCCTTCACTTCTCTCGCCTGGTCTGTCGCGCAGCTCTGCTATGATGCAGCCGGGAACAGCTTTGCCGGAAACGACGTCGCCTACTTCCTCGATCAGAGGTTCAACTGCACGATCATGATTTGTAGAAATGGGACGCCGCAGGTGTTGAAGCAGCTGTGTGAGAGGGAGCTGAATGAGACAATGATTCAGGGAATGAAACCGACCAAGACGACGACCATGCCTACAGGTGAGGAGTGGGGATGGGGAGGAAGGGTAGAGAAAGAGGAGCGTTCTGAGACACCTTGATGAGTTTAATTATTTTCCAAACGGTAGGTGTCAGCTAAATTAAGACAGACTACCAAAATAATGTTGTTTTATATCTGCTAACTTTTGATACACGCACTCACAATATATTGTAAATGTCTACTAACTAGATGGTAGATTGCACGGATGCAAAGCTTACCAGCAAACTTAACTCAATGGTTGTGAGTTGTGACGAATTTAAGTAACATTTAAGAGCTGTTGCCATGCATCAGGCCCTACCACCACTGTTATTACGGAGCGAGCGAAGCGAGCGTAGTCTTTCCTTAAGGGGCCCTGACACTTGCACGATTTTGTGGCACGCATTGGCACGAATCGAATCGTGCCCGTGCGCATACTAGTCGTAAACTGACGTGAAGTGTGCGTTAGCTCGTCGTGACTTCGTGCCATGTCGGGGCGAGAACTTTGAAATGTTCAAAGTTTTGGTCACGACAAAATTTCGTGACCGGACCGTGAACTATGCGCAAACTGTTCGTGAACTCGTCGTGAACTCGTCGGGACGGTGCGGGAAGTGCGTAAACTATGCGCAAACTATGCAAAAGTATTCGTAAACTCGTCGTACCAGCCCTTGCCAATGTGTGGATCTCGGCTTGCTTCGCAGCGCAAAATTTGGGATTGTTTGGTGTTTTTCCCGAGTCGATTGGACGCCTAGATGGGAAGTTATGACCGAAAATGTATTTAACGGGTCATTTCAGGTCAAAGAGGTCAAGCTAGGTCACACGGGCTCAGGCTAGACCACAGAGGTCAAATTAGGTCACACCGTGTCAGGTTAGGTCACAGAGGTCACGATGGGTCACGCCAGGTCACAGAGGTCAGCCAAAGTCACGATAGGTCAAACTGGTCACATTGAGTACGGTCAGGACACTTGCGTCACTGGAGCTCACGATGGGCCAGGCCAGGACACGGAGAAATTGGTAAATGGGAGGTCCCATTTTTATATGGCATGCCCAAGTCGATACAAATTGCGCAAACTTGTCGTGTCAATGCGGAAAGTGCGTAAACTATGCGCAAACTATGCGGAAAGTATGCGTGAACTCGTCGTACCAGTCCGTGTCAATGTGGACACTGATGGGCACGCATTCGTGAATTATTCGTGAAATCGTCGTGAACTGGTCGTGCACTAGTCGTGAACAGTGCGGGAGCCATCCCAGTTCGTGCACGAAAATGTCACGGCTTGCCACGACAAAATCTTGAACAAAAGTCGTGCAAGTGTCAGGGCACCTTTAGATTAACGGAAATTTCTGAGTATGAGCGGCCGGCCGGCCGTGGTCACGCTTTTGCGAGGCTTATATCTCAGCAACCACTTGACCGATTTACACGCGGCAATTTTTATAGGGTAGCTTCATTCCTTCTACCAAGTATTGGACTATTCCCGATGCATGTGGGTGACCCCTTATGCACGTGCCACGTGCAAAACGAAGAGGTGTCCGTTTTGTAATTGTTGCAATATCTCGGTAACTCCTTGGCCGATTGCGCTGAAAGTTGGCATGTAGGTAGGCACCCACTAGGCACTGCATATCCATGTGCCAGAGTTGGGGCGCTGCTGCACGTGCGCACGTGCAGGGGTCGTTTCCAGATCTCGAGAACGGCTCTACCGATTGCGCTCAAATTTGGTACACAGTTAGGGACCGGTTAGTAGGATGCCGTGCGCAAGTCAGTTGGGACCCATTTTGCACGTGCGCACGTGCAGGGTGCCGCTTCCAGATCTCGAGAACGGCTGGGCCGATTGTGCCCAAATTTGGCACATCGCTAGAGACCGGCTAGTAGGGTGCCGTGCACACTGCACAAGTCAGTTGGAGGTACCCCCTCCAACACAAGTAATTCCACCTCTCCTGTGTTTCACAGGTAGTTGCGTTCCATTTAGCGAATGTCCCGAGGCTGTCGACCATGTCCTCATATTCTGTTCTCTGCCCTCGTATTCTACCCTTCTGTATTTAACTTCCACCCCTTCTGTACTCCACAGGCAGCTGTGTACCCCTCCACGAATGTCCCGAGGCGGTGGACCAGGCTCTGCTATTCTGTTCTCTACCCTCGTATTCTACCGACATGTGTTTAACTTCTACCTCTTCTGTATTCCACAGGTAGCTGTGTACCCCTTCACGAATGTCCCGAAGCGGTGGACCAGGCTCTGATATTCTGTTCTCTACCGTCCGGGGACCAGGGAGTCGTCTGTTTCGCAGATAACGACATCACCGACTTCATACCGCATGTGAGTGGGAAGGGAGGGAGAGGGGAGGGAGGGAGGAAAGAGGGATGAAACCGGTAGATGCAGATGAGGGGTGAAGGGTCATGTAGGTGGAAGTAGGAAAAGGTGGGAGGAAGAGGTTTAAGGGAGAAAGAATGAAGGGAGGAGAGAAAGACCTGGGAGAGGGACGAAAAGTGAGATTGAAAGAGAAAGAGAGACTTATGAGACTCTGAGAGGGTAGAGAGAAAAAGAGAGAAAGAAAAAGGTGCCAAAATAAGTTGAAACTATGTATTGTTGGTAGAGTTCAGTGGCGTATCCAGGGGGGAGGCCAAGAGGCCATGGCCTCCCCCTTTGGCATCAAACATGCAAGTGGGCCCTTTGGGTCACTTGAGTGCAGTGAAGTTCCCAAGGGAGCCATGGGGGCCCTGAGGGGCGCCCTGGTTACCTGAGGGTCCCCTGGTTATCTGAGGGGGCCCTGGTTACCTGATTGGTCCCTGGTCATCTGAAGGACTCCTGGTTACCTGAAGGGCCCCTGGCTACGGGGGCCCTGGTTACCTGAGGGGCCTTGGTTATCTGAGGGGCCCATGGTTACCTGAGGGGCCCCTGGTTTCCTGAGGGGCCCCTGATTACTTAAGGGGCCCGTGATTGCCTGAGAGCCCCTGATTACCTGAGAGGCCCCTGGTTATCAGTGGGGCCTCTTGGTATGACGGGCCCCTGGTTATCTGAGGGGCCCCTGGTTACCTGAGGGGCCCCTAGTTATCTAAGGGGCCCCTGATCGGCCAGTGATCTGAAGAAACCCTGGTCACCTGAAGGGCCCATGTTTACCCGGGGAGTACCTGGTTATATGAAGGGCCCCTGCAGTCACATAAATGCCCTTAGTTACCCGTGGAGCCCCTGGTATAACCGTCCCCTGGTTATCAGAGGGTCCCCTGGTCACCTGGTGGACTCCTGGTCAATTGAAAGATCCCTGGTCACCTGAGAGACGCCTGATTACCTGAACGGCCCATGACCACTCGGATTCAATGGTATGGCCAGGGGCGAGGGGGCACGTGTCTGTTATAGGGTTTAGGGTCCCCTCGGGCCCGAGAGGCCCTGCGGTGCCAAGTGGCGGCAGAGGGCTCGCGCTGGCAACGCTTCAACTGGAAAGGAGACCACAGGGCTTGTGAGAACACCCCATGGACTCTTGTGTAGCCACACTTATCTCCAGAAGGGCCTCACGCCAGGTTCTGAGGGACCTTGCCGGCCCTGAGGGCTCTTGCCGGCCAATAAGGGATCAGCTGTAAGGGCCCCATACCCGTTTGCTATGGCCCCACGGCCCACACCGGTGTTTCTGAGGGCCCTCACAACGGCGCCTGCGAGGGCCTCCACTGCCACCTCTAAGGGCCCCACACCAGTGCCTCTTAAGGGCCTACTTCGGCGGTTCTGAGAGCCCCACACCGGCGCCTCCGAGGGCTCTATGCAGCGGATCTGACGGTCACTTACCAGCGACTCTGAGGGCCTCTTACCGACCTCTGGGGGTCCCTTGCCGGCCTGTGAAGGGCCACCAGTGACTTTCAGGGCCCCACACACGCCTAAGTGATGGCCCCCACCAGTGTCTCTAAGCCCCAAGGCCCTCACAACGGCGCCTGTGAGGACCCCACACCAGCGCATCTGACGGCCTTTCACCGACACCTCTGAGAGACTAACACAGGTGACTCTGAGGCACTCGCTCGCTTCACTTCCTCATAAAATACCGTGCATTTTATACATACTTCTCAAGCAAAAAATGATATTTTTACCTGCCAATTTTGCACATTTTCTCAGTGCTTAGACAGACAGACAGACAGACAGACAGACAGACAGATAGACAGAGGGGCCCGTCTGCAAGGGGGGACCGGACCCACTGTGCCCAATCCCCTCATCGAAAGGTTCTGGATACGCCCCTGCCTGGGTTGACAGCGGCATCCGGGTGACCCGTGGGCCCCTTTGAGAGCAGGCGGCCCACTCCTGGGCGAAATCCTGGGAACGTGCCTGCTTGAGTGTCCCAAGAGAAACGACCTTCAGGGCCTCATCCAAAGTACTGGCCCAAGCATAAATAAAGTCGAACTGCGTCAAACTATCTTAAAATGCCATTTGATGGCCCTCATGGCCCCCAGAGGCTAGCGTGGGCCCTCAGAGGTCGCTTTGGCGGCCATAAAGAAGCTTAGACTCGAGCGTGGGATCCTTTGAAGCTGGTGTAGAGTCCTAAGGAGCCAGCGCTCAGCCCTCTAAGGCCAGAATGGGGCCCTCTAAGGCCATTGTGGGGTCTTCTAAGGCCAGTGTGGGGCCTTCTAAGGCCAGTGTGGGGCCTTCTAAGGCCAGTGTTGGGCCTTGTAAGGCTAGTGTGAGACCCTCTATGTCCAGCATGGGGCCGTCTATGTCCAGCGTCTTTAAGCCCAGCGACATGGGGCCTTCTTAGGTCAGATTGAGGCCCATTGGCCACCGAGACTAGCTTGGGGCCCTCTGAAGACAATGTGGAGCCCTTTTAGGCCAGTGTGGGGCACTCTGTGACCAGCGTGAACCCTCTGAGGCCAGCGTGGGGCCATATGTCATCTGACTGCAGACTTCAGAGGTTGGTGCTGGGCCCTCAGAAGCCAGCGCGGGCCTTCATAGGCTGGCGTCGGGCCATTAGAGGCCACCTCGAGGGCCTCGGCAGCCACTTTTCAGATCTTATGCATATTTGGGCCCCCTGAGGTAGGAGTGGCCCTCAAAGGCCGGCGTGGGACCCTTAGGGGGCATCATGGGCTTCTAGAGACCGGCGTGGGTTCGAGAGCGGCATAGGGTCGTCAGACTGACTCAAAGACTCCCAAGAGCCAGCGGGGGCCTATGAGGTCAGCCACGGGTCTCCTAAGGCTATTATGGGGCCCGGAGGCCAGCGTGGTTCACTCTGTGGCCGGTGTGGGGCTTTCAGAGGCCAGAATGAGCCTTCAGAGGTCGCAGTGAGGCCAATGTGGGCGACATAGAGCCATCAGAGTCTAGATCAGAGCTCAACCCGGGTCGGGCCCTTCTAAAGTTCAGGGTATCAGCCGTCAACCACCGCAAGACACAAAGAGATTGACATCTGCCATTTGAAAAATGTTACAATCGTACAAAAAAATTGACAAAACATTTTGCTCTTGATAATCTTTAGTGGCCCCGGCGACGACCAAAGCAAAAAAAAAAAACTGTATGCCTACTGCTGAAATAAATTGTAGGGGAGACCCGGGAGGTATGGGCCGGTTATGTGAAAAGGCAATTTTCTTCCAGTGGGCAGTGGCTAGACCCGTTTTTTTTCACTCTGTGCACGTGAAATTGCCTTTCGCCTGCAAAATGTGCCTGCTATTGAGCATCTGGGATCAACTATTTTGTCTCGAGATAACTTTCAATAAACAATGTGCTTTTCCGATCCATCAAAATACACCGGGAGGTATGGGCCGGTGCCATGTTTCATATTCTTTTCTCGACAATGAGAACAATACTCGTAGCTGGTATCACCTTGATCTCTCTTAGAGCCCAGGAACCGCATAAGCGGCCAACAGCTTTCTTCATAGAGGTCACTTGGGCACATATGCATTTTGGTAAACTCAAGCATGCAGCATGAAATAAGATAAATAATATTTTTCTGTTCGAATGAAATTTGAAGTTAAATTTTCAACCTTGCGCGACAAAAGTAAAACTTATTGAAGATGACACTCAATTGAAACATCTTTTTATTCAATTAGGCTCAACGGGGGTGGGTGGCCCGAACCTCCCGGTTAGGACGCCAGAATTTGCGTAGCATCTCAGCTCATAATCTTGCAAGAAAGCTTCAAATTGTCTATCCAGTCTTAATTTGCATGCTTTAAACTTTATCCTAGCATTAGTCTGACATAAAACGAGCCTGGTTTAAATTTATCAAGAATTTCTGTATGTACAGTATTTTACTCGAAGAGGGCAAAAACGCTTTATCACCGCTCATTGCCAAAGAAGAGTGAGGAAGATTTTGAAAATCACGTGGGTTGTATAACGGAATGGCTGCTACCAGTTTACGCGGTCAAATGTGTAAAAATACGCAACACTTCTTCAAAACTGCGATGGCCCATACCTCCAGGGGGCCCATACCTCCCGGGTCTCCCCTACACTACATACAGAGCTATCGATATCGATGGCTTTTTCACATTTTTCTTTTCTTTTTTAGATTGCCGAGCGTGCCTAAAAAGGCTCCCTCACATGGTGAAAGTGGCAAAGAACCGCACCTGGGCGTGGGCTAAGTACGCCACTACTGGGGCCCCTAAGGTAAGGGTGGGGCCCCTTGAGCAGGTTTGGCCTCCCCCTTTTCAAGATCCTGGATACGCCACTGGTAGAGTTACACTTACAAGCATGCTATCACCAATCGCCTATTCAACAAACCTGCCAACTTTTGACTTCTGACGTCATTCACAGCAGGAGTACCCCGATCTCCAGGAGGAAACCCTCCAGATCATCGCCCGTTCCGCTCTCCCCCGAGCCGCCAAACAGATTCTGACTAGCCTACCGGAGGAGACGGCTGATGGGAGATCGGAGACGGAGGCAGCCCTGGAGGAGGCCGTCCAATCAGCGGTGAGGAGGGGGATATGGTAGCCAATCAGAGGTGGAGAGGGGGCTTGAGCCGGAGCGTACCAATTAGCGGTGTGGGTACAGATTAAGCAGCCAATCAGCATCACCATGCATAAATGATAGGAAATAAAAGGCAGGGGTACAAATTGAATAGCTATTCAGAGGTTGGGAGGATAGAATGGTAGAGAAATAGCCAATTAGGGTGTGGTTTCCGTATCCAAATAAATAAATCATAAGCTTTCCCCGCAAAAAGTAATCTAGCGAAAAGTTTTTCCCACGAACACCTCGCATTTTTCGTGAATGTCCCCCTCTAAGATAGCGGAATTTCGCTTTCTGATACCTTTCACTTATTTCCCGTCACAGTCAAGGGCGACCCGAGAAGCAGTGGTTCAGGCCGCCGATGATTACGTGGATAAGATGGCCAACTCGACCGACCAACTGCTAGCCACTGGACAGGTAAATAGTCTAAATACAGTTACCCAATTACTGACACTGCCTACTCTCATAAACCAGCTGATAGTTACGGGGTATTGTCAGCTGCCAACTCACAAGTCAATTAACGGAGAAAGAAACTTGTCACTGCTAAGCTCGTTAAAGCTAACGTAACTTAACATTCGTGACGAACTTCGAGTGAGTGACAACGGTTAGCTCAACGCACTGAAAGTCGAAAGTCTTCAGACCAGTTACCTCTAGCACCATATACTCTAATATTCATAAATACAAATAACTAAGTAAATCACAGCGTCATGAATAAAACGGGAACAAAAATCAGTCCGAAGAGCTGACGGTATTTCTACATCGAGAAAAAGACACTCGACCATCGTTTTCTGGGTGTCGTTCATTTGTCCATTTACCTAATGACGCTGAAATCATGCTGACATCTCTCTCTCTCTCTCTCTCTCTCTCTCTCTCTCTCTCTCTCTGTCTGTCTCTCTCTCTCTCTCTCTCTCTCTCTCTCTCTCTGTCTCTCTCTCTCTCTCTCTCTCTCTCTCTCTCTCTCTGTCTCTCTCTCTGTCTCTCTCTCTCTCTCTCTCTCTCTCTCTCTCTCTCTCTCTCTCTCTCTCTCTTTCTCTCTCCACAGCTGCCACCGCCTACCACGACTACCCACGTCTTCAACCTCAACTTCCGTCACGATCCCAAAGTACAGAGGATCGCTCTAGAGGCGGTCAGGGATCTGAGCACCTCGACATTCTTCCTCAGCACCAGGTGAGGTAGCTTCTGTAGGAAATGGAACCTTGGCTTTTTTCTCAGGAGCAGGAAGGCCCTTAACAGTCAGTAACTTACTGTTGCGAGACGGAACTGATATAATTATTTTAGCACCAAAAGTTGATGCCGTCAATAACTATGTGATTAGATTTGGAATGAGTTATAACAGTAATCTGATGAGCATCGGTATTCATTTTCCATGGCTCTGCACACGAAAAGAAGAGCAGCCTCAGGTTTTGCATTTCTTTCAGCAACTGCCTAGGTTCTAGAACTTGTACTTGAATTGGAGTAGAACATACTTTATGTTGTTAACACTAATTCCCACCATCGTGTTTGTCAGGCCTCAATCGCCGGAAACCACCACTGAGTCCTCTACCAGAGCAACAACCCGACCAGCATCCCAACCCACAAGCCCTCCCTCCTCTTCCCCATCCAAATCCGCATCCTATCCACCGAGGTCCACATCGGGCCAATCAGGTTCCACAGCCCAGGGTTATTCCTCATCTAGAACGGGTGGCGCCGCGGGGACTGAAGAAGACTCTACGCCGGCTGATGGAGACGAAGAGACTACCGTGGTTCGGTTTCCGAGGGTAAATCAGGTGAGCTTAGTGCAAGGTTTTCGATCAGCGGGGCTGGGTGGGGATGGGATGTTAGGGAGGATGTTGATAATACTTATAAGTGTTGCTGTGAGGGTATTAAAGGTCATCCCTTTTTAAATAGCTTAGTTAGAGGGTTAACGAGCATTTAGCAGCGCAATTTTTGGCATTATTCACTGATTATAAAAAGACAAACGTTTACGAACTACTTAAGAGGGTTACCTTTTTTGTCCCTAGTTCGGTTATGTCTAGTAGACATAGACATTATCTAACATATTTTTGGTAAGATTTCATAAATCAGACAATTGACTCAACTACACGGCCCAGTGCAAATTCCATTCAATATCACCATTCTCTTGCTTTCTCCTTCCCAGACGTGCACTGCCCTGGAGCCTCCACCATGCGATCACACTGCCATCTATCGGTCCGCCGATGGAAGCTGTAATAACCTCCGGCAGCCGCTGTGGGGGCGCCGCCGTACTCCGTTCAGAAGGATATTCCAGAACACCTACTCAGACGGTGGGTGGAGTCAAAGGGTTTGGTGAGCGGTGATTGGCTGGCCGGGATGGCGGTTGAGTGTGAGAGTGTGCGTTCGAAGCTGGGGAACGTCGGATTTTCGCTTTTTATTAAACGGCGCATTGTGTCAAATGTAAGTCAATGGTCGTCTTTTGTTAACCTTTGTTCCATCTCCTGCTTGTAAAGATGTGGATTAAGAGGTTTAAACATTTCAGATTGTAGGCATACAATTTACATACCGTAATTCACCTTTCTGGTTCTACTTATTAAAACCCTCTTACATTCTTTCTCCGCCTACATGTGAATAGGTTTCATCAATGTTTCTATTCCCAGGTATACCTATTCTCCCCGACATCGAGTCCCACGCTGCCCACCCCGCGCCTACTCAGTGAAACCCTAAGGCCTATCCTTCTGTCCATCGACTACATTAGACAGACATAACTCAATTATTTTTTTTCGCAGGAATATTCTCCCCGACGTCCAGCCCCACGCTGCCCAACCCCGCCTGCTCAGTGAGACTCTGACACTTGCTCAATAGAATATACCCTCTTTCGTCCATCATCCACATTCATTTTTTCAGTGCTTCAACCAGACTCATTTTTCCACAGGTATATTCTCCCCAACGTCGAGCCCCACGCTGCCCAACGCGCGTCTGCTCAGTGAGACCCTCATGGACTACGAGTCGGTGGCTGCCCAGCAGAGGACGCTGGCAGTGATGACCTGGGGTCAGTTCATGGACCATGACCTGGCACACACGCCCATCTTCCAGCTCGGTGAGTCGGGAGACATGACTCTTGTCTTGTATGTAATATATTGTCTTATGTAACTCTTGTCTTGTATGTCTTATAACTCTTGTCTTGTATGAGTTGGAACATATACCGATGGATGAAAGGGAACGTAATCACAGAATTGAGCCAGAGGCAGAACTTATGCTTACTCACATGGACGTTTTGGGAACAAAGCTCTAAGCTCCATCAATGATCGAACACCCGTATTTCAGATTGTCTCGGAAAGATAAAGATCCGATGGCAATCCTGTTTTGCCATCCCAGAAAATAAGCAAAATTATTAGAAATGTTAGCAATGTTACGATAAGCGCATTCCTTGCAAAGACATCGTCAAATAACGTTCACGCTCGGGAAGGTAAATTCTGTCAAGGTATCTCAATTCTGACGCCAGTATGACGTCAGTCGTTACCCTCAATGTATTCGTACTTTGTCCATGCTGTAAAGGATTGCATTCTCTCCCCAGTCACTACACTTATGTCGTCATTGTCTCATGTCAACAATTACGTCATTTTCAGTCCCAAATGACATCCTTTTCTCTCCCCTCCCCACAGACGACGGCCACGGCATCGAGTGCTGCTCAAAACGCAACTCCCCGCCGCCCGAAACCCCCGTCCATCTACAGTGTCTCCCAATCACTGTACGACAAGCTGACGCGTTCTACGGACCACATCAAGAGCGGTGTATGAATTTTGTGAGGAGCGTACCGTCTACCAGACCGGCTTGTGGGCTCGGACCGGCCAATCAGCTGAACGATCTCACCCACTGGATTGACTGGTAAGAGCGAGACGTCACTTATGTACACAGTTTCGGAGACAGAAAGATGGTTCAGATGCATGCTAAATTCGGTAGGGCGAAATGAGAATGTGTTTTTCACGCAGGTGAACGTTTTTCTCTTCTCTTTCAGAGTTAATCATAGGACTGGCATTGTCAAATAGGGTCGCAAAAAAGTAGATTATGAAAAGAATAAAAGGTAGGAAGAAGTAGAGTTCGATTTTTCGAAATTAACATTCATAGCAATTATCTCGTCTGTATTTTCGATACTTTTGATCGATGCACGTTTATATTCCATTGATCCCTTCACCTAACCTCATCTAATCTCATCTCACCTTTTCTCACCGTCCCCTATATATCACCAGTTCCCAGGTATACGGCAGCGACAGCTCCGAACAGCGGCGACTGCGTACCTTCTCCGGAGGACTCCTCCGTACCAGTCCGGGTGACCTTCTACCGCGGGAAGTGCCGGTGGTTACTGAGGATGGACAAGGGGAGACGACCAGCTGCCGGGGAAACGTGTGCTTCGTCGCAGGTGGGTGGGAAGTGAGGCAGGGGCGTTGGGATCGGACACATGGTTTTGGAATTGATGCGGGGGAGTCGGGATTGACACAGAGCGTCAGGATAGGCGCAGGGGCGTTATAGGGGAGAGTGGGGTAATTTGGCCGCTTTTTTTAGAAAACGATATAACTTAAAATTGACGACACATTTCTGCATTTTCTCAACGCTGGCAGGTGTCGCATTCATTTTACTTTACTGGACAGTGAACTTGAAATGATAGAGAAATTACTTATATTGAAATTGTGACGTATTACAAAGGTCTGCAAGGCGGCCAAATTGCCCCACTAGCAGGGTTATTTGGCCGGGGGTGTGGGGCAATTTGGCCGGTGTTAGTTTGCGGTCGGGATTTTCTGTTATATTGCGAGTCAGCTTCAGATTCAGCAATGACGTGTGTCCTATGACGCATTTGCTGCATTTTGGAGGTTGGCTCAGGGGTCACAGGGGTCAAAATAGCCAAATTAGCGGCTCTAGATGCGATCACCGTTTTTTACGAATAACTTTTGAAGTAATCAAGCTAGGCCAAAACTTTGAGTACCATCGTAATTCTCTCGTCAGTCCGCATCGAAAGATATATGTGTTGACCTTGAGAAGTCAAGGTCAAAGGTTGACCTCAGGTCACGTTGCATCAGGTCGCTTAACCTCAAGGTCACGTGATTTCAAGGTCATCATGCATATCATTCGATGCGCCTTGGCGAGCTGAACAGAATGAGACCATTTGTGCGGCTGTACCATTTTTATGTAAGGATTTATTAGCAAAAAAACGTTTGGTAACCTTTGATGACGTCACATGCTCTTACAGTTGACCAATCGGAAGTAAGGCATCAAAGTAGTCAAAGTTGGTCATGAATCATGTCATTTATGGTACAATTGACCATGAAAACTCGGCCGTCCCAGCATAGTGACCATGAGCGCACCGGCCAAGTTGCCCCACCAGTCCCGGCCAAATTACCCCATATTGCCATTCTGAAAATTTATGTCTATAAAGTCATCACGGCTTTACGGAATTAGATAAAATTGCTCTTGGAACCGCTGAACACCCCCAAGAATGGCGCTATAATGTCTGAATTCGTTTTTAGCCCAAATACTACATGTTATACAACTTTGTAAACAGAAGTAAAAGTTACCATTTTCTAATGAAATTAACGTTTTATTAATTTTGAATAAAACTACGAGGGGCAAAGTTTTGACATTTGTCCTCCAGTTATTTCTACCCATGACAAATGAATAGAGACTAGAGTTAGTTCACTCACTTTTATAAGACATCGTACAGGTGGGGGCGGCCAATTTACACCACCGGCCAAATTACCCCACTCTCCCCTAATTGCGAAGGGCGAGATGGGCTCATCGCAAATGTGGTAGTTAAATAGCATTTGAATATCTGAATCGGGATGTTCCGTGCTGGCTGATTGAACGAGCATTGTCCAGAAAGCAAAACACTCTACAAGGGCATAGAGTGCTGAAATAACCACACGCGTCTTTATTTTTGCTATTGCATTTCCATATTACGCAGATTTTGGATACAAAAACTTAAAGCCTGCATAATGCATGCAGACTATGGACGGAAATATTCAAGCATAGATTCTACACAGATATATATATAATATAACGATAAATAACAAGCGATATATTTGTTTCAGGCGACTCCCGTGTGAACGAGAACCCGATGTTGACCATGTACCACACGCTGTTCGTCAGAGAACACAACCGAATCGCCCGACAGCTGCAGGTTGGTAACTAGTTGGTAATAAACTGGTAATGTTCAATGTTCATGAGAGAGGACAATCGTGTAGAAATTAGCGATATAAGTACGAGCATTGTATAGTTACTGTTTGATCGCAATCATTGCCGACGATGCACATTTCCTTAGGAGGCACATTTGGAGCTGTTGTGTATAGCCGCCAGTCATTCAACCGCAGGCAATACCTAATGGAATGCTGGCTTATTCCATCGGAATTCGGAGCCCGTCGCTTTTAAGTACTGTAGTGTGTATTCAGCAGTGCATTGTTCTAAAAAACGAAAGCATTCTCTAGGCTCTGTGAAGAAAATCTTGCCATAAATTGGTTGTCATAATATAGTAAAAGAACCTGTCATAGACTCAAAATATGGTAATTGCGCTCTGAACATGAGGTTCATGTGTGCTAACCTTTTTAATTTAACCCACGAAATTATCGCCCCTTTTCTCATCCCCAGCATTCCCAGCAATACAGTCGGAACTTCACATCTCCAGCTACGGATGAAGATCTGTTCCAGAGGGCTCGGCGTATCGTGATCGCAGAGTGGCAGCACATTACATATAATGAGTGGTTACCTGCGCTTCTGGGTACGTTAGCTGGTATTTATTTCCGTTGTTCCACTTTTTATTAATACAGGTCCATCTAATTTAGAGTTTGCTGTGCTTTTGGATGCGTCGTATGGTATCAGGGGGCGTTCCCGTTTTTTTTTTTTTTTAAGATAAGAAGTACAAAAACCATCGCTGTTTACCACACATATCCCTCCAAATGTCTTCTGGGTGTTGCTGTTGTGGTCCAGGGTATATTGAGTGTTGTGGTCTCGACCCTGTTCTCATGTCACTTTTCCAGGATACGGTCCTTGCTAAACCGCCTCACCGTGTAAAGCTAACTGCTCTGTGACGCATGTCTTAAGCCATGTAAATCTACACTCTGCTCTGTTCAAGTACCGTATACCATAAGTAACGCTACCCCCCTCCACAGGATACAGCTACGCCGAGTCGGTCGGCCTATCCAAGACATACGGAGATCACAGCTTCGAGTACCTAGACTTCCTTCACCCGGGTATCTCCAACTCGTTCGCCACGGCCGGGTTCCGACTGCACTCGCTAATTCAGGATATGCTGCAGTAAGGAGTTAGTTTAGCCTACTGAGGAGTTAGTTTAGAGTGCTGAGGAGTTAGTTTACGCTGCTGAGGAGTTATGTTAGAGATTTCACTCGCTCATCCAGGATATGCTGCAGTAAGGAGCTAGTTTACGCTGCTGAGGAGTTAGTATAGACTACTGAGGAGTTTAGTTAGATATTTCATTTGCTTATTCCAGATATGCTGCAGTAAGGAGTTAGTTTACGCTGCTGAGGAGTTAAGTTAGAGATTTCACTCGCTTATTCGGGATATCCTACAATAAGGAGTTAATTTGGACTGCAATCTCTGATCAAGGACATGTTGCAGTAAGGAGTTTATTTAGACTGGGCTCGCAGTAAGAAGTTAAGAAGTTATTTTAAGAGTTGTTGGAAACTAGTTCGGTGTGTTGACTGTTGTTGGCTCGGCTGGCGAAGTCCCGAAAATTTCTATTATTTTTGAAAATTACTACGATCTTTTAGGTGGTTAACTTTCTCGCATCTTTAATTAATTTTTACCTATAATTTATTGACCATATTTCCCAACGCTTTCCGGCAGTTTCGTGTCGGCATCTGGAAACACCACCACTACCGTCCCCCTCCACGAAACCTTCTTCGAGCCTTCGGTACTCCTATCTAGCATCGGTCAAACTCCCTTAACTGCTACCATCGGCGCGAGTACCTCTTCTAGTGGGACAAGTTCAACTTCTGGGACTGCATTGGATGGGACGGATTCTTCTTTCGGCACATCTGATGATGGAAACGCGTCAAATTCATCTTCTGGTAGCGGTGGAACACACTCATCTGACGGCACCAGCGGTGGAGTTAACCCCAATGACGTCAGAGGAGAGATCGAGTCGGCTGCGAGTCTCCAAATAGCCCGACTGGCTCGGGGTATTACCAAGCAGTCGCCGAGGCTGCAGGATCGTCACTTTAGCGGGCAGATCCGGGGACAGCTGTTTGCTACCGAATGTGTGAGTTACGGGGCGGGGGAGTTGGGAGTAGGGGAGTGGGTAATGGGAATGAGGGGCGGTGGTGGGGATGGGGTTAGAATGTCGGTGGAAGTGAGAGCGATCAGCCACAATGAAACTGAAAATACAAACTGGACTAGTCCTCTGAAAGCATTAGAATAGGTCCTCTGGAAACCAATATATTAAGGTAAAGAAATTGAGAAAGATTCCTTATTTTGCAGATTTTGCTTATGGATAGGCTAAAAATATTCCGTTGTTCATATTCAAAGCTGTGCTTTCACTCCTCTAGGCCTTGCACAATGCACAATCTACTCATCTTTCTTCACTTTGCTTGCAGTTAACATGACGTTCGTCAAGTCCTTCCGAGTCTATCTTGGTCATCTGTCTTCTAATCCCTTCATAACCCAGTGGCGTCATTACAACCCCAATGACGTCATCCCAGGTGGGTCTGGACCTGGTCACCCTGAACATACAGCGCGGCAGGGACCACGGTTTGGCTAAATACCCCACCGTGCTGCGCTGGTGTACCGGGGTGGCCATCACGCGATGGAGCGATCTGGTCATCGTCATGACGTCAGAGGTATGTGTTCAGTGAGCGATGACGTCATAAGGGGTGACGTCATATGATGTTTGAGATGTTTGACCTTGCGTCAAGGAAGCTGTCGAGGTGGATGAGAGAGCATAGGCTGAAATTGCATGGGTTTGCATTTGCATTTTGTACACACATTTTACTGGGATATTACCGCATTGACTTGATTTCTAGTTCAGCAGGTTAGCCACGACTCGTGAAATGAATGTTGTGCTTATAGGTAAGGGGAGTTGGTTAAGAGCTCCTGAACAAAACAGTCTCATAGCATTTTTCCGGCGTCAGATCCTCTTTTCCTTAGCACATTTAAATATATTTCGTACATTTGCATACCAAAGTTCCTTCTCAAACTTACCCGCCCTCCCCCGGGATTCGATCCGCCTCTCTCGCCTCGTTTGATCAGCTGACTGCGGTATTCACCCACAGAACGTGGCCCGTCTGAAGAAAGTGTACTCTGACTGGACCGAGATTGACATGTATGTGGGGATCAATATGGAACGACTGGTGCCCGGAGCGATGCTTGGTGAGTGGGAAACATATAAACGTACTGCGAGAAATGTAGCAAACAGTGGCTAACAAAGCGATAAACATATCACTGACAAATGTACTACGAAAAACACTGCGACAATTAGGTACGCGGAAAATGCATAACGATAGGCATGCAATGGCAAATATGCAAATATGTGTTGCAAGCTACCTAAGGCACACAACTCAACACCATCGAACGGATTTTTTTATTTTTATTTATAAATCTAATTAAATTAAGCGATATGCAGCAGACAAAGTGCGGGTAGGTAATACTGCTGCTAGTTGCTACTTATCTCTGATGTCAGTCTCAGTAGGATGCCCAAATTTGTGTGACTTTGATGACGTCATGCTGCCATATCATTTCAGGTCCGACCGCCCGCTGTCTCATCACTGAACAGTTTGTCCGACTGAGATTTGGCGATCGGTTCTTCTACGATCTTGGAGGACAGCCCGGTAGCTTCACGAAAGGTGCGTTTGATTGAACCGTGCATTTTCTATAAAACACCTGACATTCTTGTTTGCATCAATATTGAGATGGTAATGCTTTTATTTATGTATTTATCTATTGCTTTATTCTTTTTTTGTGTTTGTTTAGGTATTTTGAGAACACCGCATTTTTTTACGTTCATAGAATTAGAAATAACGAATGTGCCATCTCTTGCCTTTCATCTGTCCTCACTCCATTCGTGACCTGAACCCTCACATCTAACCTAAACCTCCTTCCTAATCTTGTGAACCCTTACTCATGACCTCTTGACCCGTCAACACTCCACCAATCAACCTTGACCTTGACCTCCAACCCTTGACCTCCCTCCCCCTCTCTCTCTCTCTCTCTCTCTCTCTCTCTCCCTCTGTCTCTCTCTCTCCTTCTCCCTCTCCCTCTCCCTCTCCCTCTCTCTCTCTCTCTCCTTCTCCCTCTCCCTCTCCCTCTCTCTCTCTCTCTGTCTCTCCCTCTCTCTCTCTAACCCATAGCGCAGCTCATCCAACTCAGCCGTATCAGTTAGTCACATCTCCTTTCCCGTAACACCTGGGCGGTGTTTCATTAGACGCTGCTCCCACGCTGCTATCGCATTTCGCAAGCTGACGTCACACTTTGGGGCAGTGTTGGAGATAGGAGCTTGTTGATATCCATGGAAACCCGATTTTACACGTTCATCGGTGAAACACCACCCAGACCTCTTGACCCCCCACTACTGACCGCTCCGTAACCCCCACACCACTCCTGACCTTTGAACTTTGTCTCTGACTCACAGCTCAGCTAACACAACTCCGCCGCGCCAGTTGGTCTCGCCTTCTCTGCGATACAGTCGGAGCCGACTTCTCCGCCATTCAGCCTCTGGCGTTCTTCCAGCCGAACAACGTCTTCAATCCTGTGACCGACTGTAGTTTACTGCCTGGCATGGATCTGAGTGTATTTTAGGGTTGATGACGTCATGCAGTCTTTTTAGACGAGTTTTTGGGGTTAATGACGTCATGCAGTGCCACAACATGCGTCTCGTCTAGTGTTGGACTTGGTGGTGATATGAAGTGCTGGAAGATTATTTCTAGTGTCGACCTCTCTAGCGTGAAGTTGAGTCTCTTTTAAGTGCCAATTATATCATAGAAAGCTGGAAAGGAGGTTTTATTAGGACAGGTGGGAAGTGCAGAAATTGGCGTTAAACATTCCTGCAAGATTTTTCTATGTTGAAAGGAGGCTATTTTAAGACGGCTGATGAAGAACAATGCTATTGGTTGGTTGGAGTTGATAAACTTTTTTAGAACTGATGACGTCATAGGATGCTGCCAAAGCTGAACTGTAGCATCAGTAGTGTATATTTATTAATGGAGAGAAAACATGTTCTATTGTATGCCCTACGGAGTATTAGATAGCATGTATAGGGTGCTAATGTTGTAACAGCAGCATCATACTCAGATAAGTGCGATTAACACATAGCTCAACGACGGCAAGTATTTTAATAACAAATGTGATATCATATTTCCTTTCAATAAATGCGTCAATGTGAAATGATCACGCTTGTGCCGGAGACGTGCAGCTCTAGTTATATTTAGTCTCCAAATTGTTATGAAACTGATAAACAGTTGACGTTAGACGATCCTATATACATAGAGCGGCAAATACATTTTCTAGAGTTGAAGGAAAGTCTTGGATGTAAGATCTTGATGTTTTATTTTTGCATGTTACACCTTTGCTATTTATGAGCTGATAACACATATGCGATATTCGTGAAAACAACATTACACTTAATTACACATCAGTCCATTTAATTGAAGTTAATTACAGTTAATGTTTCATCATGGCATGCTAAATGTCTGCTCTTGGTAAAGAAGGCAATAAACGACCACTTACTTACATATGATGATAACACTCGATTACGTTGTTTTGTACTGGTTTCAGAACTGCGTGTATTATATAACTCGAGTTATATAGTCCAGTCCAGATTTAGGGTCCATAGTAGTTATGTAATACATACGCTAAATATAGGTAAAATATAAACCTAAGCGGTGCAGCAGTGTCTCAGTTTTCCGTAAATGACCCCGCATGGTTGCAGTTTGCTCAATATGCTTAATATGAAAAAGAAACGTCAAGTGTGACCATGGCTTTCATTTCCCGTGAATGACACAGAATGGATACAGTTTCTCAATGAACTCTATGCCACGTAAACAGTGTAACGCTTGGGGTAAATAAGAAAACGACACTGACAACCTTAGTGTATATCATTCATCCAAAGTGGATAGGTCCTTACAGAAGGGGATCCACGAATGGATATCCAACGCGAATGATTTGTTTGTTTCTAATTTGTGACTGACTGTACCGTGAGTCGCGGCAGTACGATGTGTAGTGTGCATGTGTTCTTGTGTCCTAAAAATATACAGCTTGTTACAAAAAGGACAAAAGAAAGGACTTCGGTATGAGTTCAAAGCACTGGCACTAATAAAAACTGATTAATTGACTTTCTCTGTGTACAAATAACGTTCATCCATCTAAGAAGCTGCTGGGGGCCTAAAATGTGGGTATAACGATAAGCTAGAGAAAATCATGGTCGATTTTTGATGTTGGTATTTCCGCTGTATGTTAGTCTCGTGCATGAAATAGCTGTCAGAATATTTACCTTGTCGCGTGATTAGTGATAAAACACTTTCTCATGTTTGAAGGAATCATGAGCGTCTTTGATACTAAAAATGTGCCAAAAACACGAAGATAAACTCGCAGTGCGCACACTCAACAGAGAACATGCCTCAACATTTTGTTTGAGTCCACCGGTTGCCATAGTAACGCTCGCGCTTGCTTACATAACAGCTCATTCCCATCGACCTTGCAGTTGTTTCACACCATGCGACTGTAACCACTGCCTTACAGCCTGTCCAGCAAAGCGATGTCAACATAACACACAACGAACACACCAAACAAGGCGAATAATGGCGACATAGCTGTCTAATAGCGTCTGGACAGACTCATAATTAAGAAAGTGTGTTGCAGCCTATTAGTCGCAATCCCATTAAATGTGATTACCTCGGCGAATTGTCAAGGCGATTACTGTGTGACAAGGTACACAATATTCGTTCTTAATGGCGCCATGTCAATAGAATACAGTAGGTATGTGCTCGGTATGGTAAAATTTGTTAGTAGAATTGTCATTGATAAACACGCAGGTAGACTGAACAATTGTATGCTTATGTAGATTATAAGGTAATTATTTTCTGCAGTTACGCAATGCGTGACTAAGAGAAAGTTTCTGTGTTTGCGACACAAATTATTGTAACTATAATTTCACTTCATACAAAATGGTGTTTTATAAACGGAGAACCATCAACCATTTCGTAAGAAATGCTCGGATGAACAACCCTAAGAAATTATATCCTTCTTTTACGTTATCAGCTTGAGACCTAGCTGCTTATACCAGAGCTTTCGTAAGTTAAAAGGATATTTTATAAGTAAGCACTGCTATAAATGTAAGGCTGTCGCCCCCCATATCATGCATTTGCATCAACAACACAATCAAGCTCATTCGTTTAGACACGCCCCACTAAAACCTCTCATTAGCCGCTCCACTACAAACAGGCTTTCTCAGAACGACTGCCTCGCCCAATGTCTTCAACACTGCCTGCTCAATTTTCTTCAACAATTAACTTAAACCGGTTGAGCCATAAACCCACAACAGTGTTTTCCATCAAAAATAACTGGTGACACGGTGGATCTCTGCATAAATAATGCACGAGCACGGCCAAACAAGATTACGCCAGTCTAGGTTAACTGTTGATGATAAGGAAAGTGTATTGCTGGAGGGAATAGCGACAATGGCATAGCGGAGTCGTAGCCGGGTCGTAGCCTTGGGTGTATAGAAGCGTGGGGTCGTTGTGATAATTTAGGTGTCACGGAGTGTTTTAGGGAGCGACACAGAGTCACGTGTCTTTTGCGTGATGTGGTCAATGCTTGACTGAGTGAGGCTGTGTTGTGGGAGTTGTGTGTGTGTCAATAGGGAGTCATGAGTTAGTTATTGAGGTCACATTGTGTTGTGTTGAGTGCATGTTGTGTTGCATCGTGTTGTCCTGTGTTGTGTTGTGTTGTGTTGTGTTGTGTTGTGTTGTGTTGTGTTGTGTTGTGTCGTGTTTCTTGTGGTGTCGTGTCCCGTATTTAGTCATGCTCCGTATTGTGTCGTGTTCCGTATTGGCACGTTCCGTATTGTGTCATAGGTATTGCGTATTGTGTCATAGGTATTGCGTATTGTGTCATGTTCCGTATTATCATGTTCTGTATTGTATTATGTGTTGACTGTCGATTCATGCTGCTTCGTGTCATTTCTAGTTATATCAAAACATGTCTGGTCAGATAGCTACATGTTAAGCCATTCGTGTCAGGGTCAGAATGTGTCACAGACACCAACCCCTACACCGTCTGACACAGTCAGTGACAGTGTCCAATACTGTCCATTGTCACTGACATTTCGCATCGTCACTGATGACACTTTCCTTGACAGCTAAGACGCTCTTGCAACTGCCGCCTCTGTTGTGACACTACTAGCCCATTCATTCCACAGCATATCGTTAATGCCTATATGCAGGACCCCGTCATGCTTAGTTAGCGACGTCTCTCAGTTCGTTATCATGTCATTCATGTTTACCCAACACGCGATGGGAGCGGGATTATCATCACGACACGTATAAACATTGAACGCGGAGACTTACCAAAAGCAATGGCACGAGGCTATTGCATAAACAAACAATGTCACCGCCTTGGAAAGTCGGTGATTAGGAGAAAACAGTGCTTCCACTTTGAAGTGTGCCGTTGCTATGGAAATGGATGAGTGACCAAAAGCAGGAGCACGAGGCGGAACTTTAATATTTCGCCGGCTAGGATGACGGTGTGTACGAAGGTTGAAATGAAGTTGAAGTGTATATGGATGTATGAGGTGACATGCAAGCTATTGGACGGGAAACTGAATGGATGCAACATAGGCCTCAAACTAACAGCCTCACCAATGCAGCATGGCTGAATGACCAGTTTTGTTTCAAAAGAGTATCTCATGAGGGAGAATGGTAAACAAGCTATGAGAGGAATATACTTGTATTGGTTGTAAAAATACGAAACATTGGCATGCCTACTTCAATCTCTTCACTTCCATACGTAGGTATTGTTTAGCTATGTCTCTGATTTGTAACAGTTATAAGAGAGACGACTGATTTTAACCCTCGCCGGACCTATTGGTTTTCTACATACGCGCCGGCCGAGGGGGGGGGGGCGGGTACGACCCCCCCCTCGCCGTTTCGCCCCTGGTGGAGCTAGCGCGTCGCGGAAAAACGAGCGTGTGCGCCGTTACGAGACGCAGAGATTGGTACCCGATTTTAAGGTCCTAGGTCAACCGGTGACCTCTGAGGTCAGGTCAAGTGCCCCAAGGTACGGTTCAGTTTTTGGTGAATAACTTCGCAAAAAACGGCCGCAGAGCGCCGATTTTGGCAGCATCGTGTTCACCTCGCTCAGGCGCGTCGAATGATATACTTTTTGTCCGGGTCAGGTCAACTTGGGGTGTTGACCTCAGGTCAAGGTCAGGTCAGCACCCCCAGGTCACGAAGTTGGTCGAAAGAGGTCATGTAGCATATCATTCGATTCGGCAGGCCTTCCTGAGTCCATTGGTGCCTTCCCCGACTCGCTAGCTCAATTTGATCAAGAGTTATTGACGAAAAACTAATTTGACCTTGATGACGTCATAAATGACGTCACGCAAGGTCAACATTGCAAAAGTGACGCATCTAACCTTGCAAGGAGTGCATCAAATCACGATTCTGTGTGCTTGAGATAGTTGGAGATCGTTCCCGGCGCCAGAATAGCAGTTTTCATTTTTCCCCATTGACTTATAATGGTGAGGTCACGAAAATGACCTGACCTCATATGACCTTTAGGAAAAATCCGAGATATACAAGTTGTGGGACTCATAATGGATACTAGATCCTGCAAGTTTCATTTCCCTGTGACATCTCCTCTGGCAGTGAGGGCGTTGCGAAGTTGCGACATCTGAAGACCGTGCAGAGGTTCACTTATGACGTCATAGGTCAGTGACCTGACCTGACCCAAAAATGCGGTTGGTGTCAAAAGATGCGGCTTGGATCAAAGGTCAGGTATGCCAAGTTTCAGCTCTCTATCGCCAGCGTGTTCGGAGCTATCGCGAAAAAACCCTATGGGGGGGGGGGCGGCACCCGCCCCCCCCCCTCGGCCGGCGAGGGTTAAGAAGATAGTTCGTATCAGGAATAACAAGTACAACAATAACTAACACATTGAATAAACAACACTGCAGCCTGATTTATTTTGCATGGTGCTAAAATAAAACTTAAGTTATAACGCTATAGTGCATACATGTCTGGTACAAAGAGTACGGTTACATATATCCCAACATTACATTAGTCGTGACCTCGAGCAGGAAAATTATCCATACTTTGTCCAGAAAGCAACATTTTAAAACGAACCGGCACGATACTCAACTTTCGCATTAACTAAGCGGGCTTCAAATTTGT